ATCTACAGCTGGTTTCGACTTCCAGCCATCCTTCGCTAGTTATGCTTGTGACTATCATACCAGCAAGTCGATCAGCAGCATCACCTCGCATCTTTGATGGTGAGGCCTGCAAAACGTCACCGACCAGTGACGATGCTCAAATAGGGCACCCTACCAGAGCTGGCGCAGTGTATGGTGCAGTCTTTCATGAATCCATAAACTATGCTGTTTGGCTGCTGTAGCTCTGACGCTTGCGTGTGTGCCTTACATTAAGGACAGCGGGCCGTCTGCTCTAGCCATTTGCCAATGCATGCACGGCTGAACGTCTACCAGCAAGCTGCAAACACTTCTCTCCCTACCTGTGACATAGTGGACATTGTGCGTGTGTTATTGCATTCCTATCTGAACTGTTCTGGATGCAGAGATTTACCCACTAAGCCCTAGAGAAATATGAATAAATACTATACTACTACTACTATTACTAAACTTGGTATGCGGGTGTGACGTGCTGCTGCTCATCAGATTCGGTCCATGCGACGCTCGTGTTTTTAGTTTTGTTATTTTGTCTTCCTTTTTTCAATTCGTAAACTGAACAGACTAAACTATCCAGTGATCAGGTGTGGTGGGGCGAGGTTTTGTTGGTGATGCTGCTGTCAGTGGTGGCGGCGTGCATGTGCTCGTGCTTGCGGGCGATGGCCCGCGTTTTCTCCCATGCCGCAAGTTTGTCTTGCGTTTGTGTTTTGCATTTGGACTTCCTGCCAGGCTTGGAAGACTTGCATTTCAAACAGTTTGTCCCACTGTGTGGCTCCCAGTCTTTGAACGGTGTACATCCACCTCTGGAGCTCCAGAGAATGTTGGGCCCCTGGCAGTAGCAGTGCATTAAATGGCCAATTTGCAAGTGTGGTAAAAAAGTTCAGGGTGTATTTGGTTTCATCCACATTGAGATGAAACACTGCCAAAATGGATTGAGTATGATCTGCCACACGATACTTCGTCCGTCCACTCCTTGACGCGAATTTCTCCCCTCCAATACGACAACACGACGACAGGAAGCTAACATGAGCCTCCATTTCTGAACAAAATAACGTCTCTAACATGGCCACGAAAAGCTACAGTGATGCACGTCAAGCTTAGGAATACACAAAATCGAAAGGCTAGGACATCGAGGTATACTAGAAAATTGTCTGCGAGGCGGAGAAAATTCGCTGACGAGGTTGGTGAGCCCTTGAAATCGAGCGACGATCCAAAAATAATTGCACCCACGTCGAGAAAGAAACCATGCGTAGCGCGTGGGTAACCCAAAAAGATCGCTCGAGCGGCGGCACAGTCGAAGGCAAGGCCAGTCCAAGCTCTAAACTCTATCGAATGACCTGGCAAACACCCGTGGTTTCGGTTGACCTTGCCCGTTTGAGATGGAAGTCGAGCGAAATTGCAAACATACGACTAGGCCAGATCGCGTAAAAAATGAAAAAGATTAAAATTTGGCCGCCATATTAAATGAACGCGCTTCGCATGCATGGGACAGCCGTGTGCATAACCTTGCGCTACTGCTGTGAAATTTAGCAACTATCTCCATACCACAAGCAGTTTTTGCTACGTTGTACCGCTGCTGCAAACTAAGTTTGTATGTGCGCATTTCCGTCTTGCTGACTTATTTTCACTTTGACACTGCTGCATTCATTGGCATTACTATTTTTCTGCATGCTGAGCTCTGAAACATGTTGCTGATGATATTCTGAACATATCATGTATACATTATCTTTGAGTAGTAGCAATATATCACCATCACTTGCCGTCCTGAAGTTTATAACTGTAAAATAGCACAATTGCAAAAATCTGCGTGGCACTGAGGGAAGGGTGAGAACCAGCTGACCGTGGCATTCAGAAAGTACTCCTGCTCAGCTGATCGTGGCACTTGACAGGAAAATCTTGTCAACCACTTATGGCACTTAAAGGGTTAAGATTGTTTCCCAGCACACAACAAGATTTTGTGCCAATAGATTAGATCCGCTGTCCATTCGTTTTGTTTTGTTCGGCATAGCTCATCAGTTATCTCATAGTTTTGTTCTGCTGCTAGTGACTGTTTTGCGTCACAATTTTTCAAAGATTAGACCCTGCTAGAGATGCCACCTGCCAAAGAAATTAGACTTTACATTGCGTTCATTAGTTCTAGCCGTAGCTTCTTTCCGATTTCGTTTTCCTGATTCGAAGTCTGAAGCTTTGTTCCATCTTGCTCACACCCTCTTTGGAACTACTGCGATGTTTCGTTTTCTTTTATTTTAGCCCTTTTTCATTTGCTCTTTTGTGTTATTTCTTCCCGTCACGAGGACGTGACCCTTTTCTTTGTAGCCGAGGGAGATGTCATGGCCCTGTATAGATAGTACTACTCACCAATACCACTATAGTATAGTACTAGTGCTGCACACATTCATTATCAGCCTGTCACCTACCTCTACCGCGGCTCTTCATCAATGTTCTCTTCCTTTTGATTAGGATAGGGTTACCTCTCCTGTCGCCGGACCTAGACTATCCATTACCATAGAACTGTCAGCTATTGTCTCTGTTGCCGGTCCGCTGTTCTGCTGTTCCGCTTGCTCCGATTCATGATTAGCATTAGCTTCAATACTTAGATACATTACTCTTTGCTGAGTTCAGCACAGCTCACTACTCGTTCGCTGCTGCCTGCTCGATCCTTCCCTTCGTAGCCGCTCGCATAGATTTCAGCTAGTATAAGTTCGCTGACTTGGCCAGATATCTATGAGAAGTATTAGTCTATTAGGAGTCTTGTTTGAGTCTTGTATTAGTCTTATTCTCTTTTATAGCTTTCTTGACTTTCTTTATAGGAGTTCCGCTACCGCTCAAGCGGACTTGTCCGCTTGAGCCGGTGTGGCCTTTGACTTTGTAGTTTCTTACTGTTCCTTTGTTCCTTTACTATATCGGACCTGAGGGCTCCGCCACCCTGACTTCTCTCTGTGCTTTGGGTCTGAGGTACGCCTGAGTGGAACTACCAAGAGGCGCACATATACTTTGTGCAAACGGGCTTGGGATAACTAACACGTAGGGACGATCAGCCAGCCACGACAGTACATTATTTAGTAGTACAGTGGTCCCTCTATAATCCGGCGCCATTTGTGCCACGAAAATCTGCTGGATTAGGGAGGGTGCTGGATTAACGAATCTGATTTACTGCTGCAATGTGCATGAAGAGGACATTTTGGCTACTGAAAATTGTGCTGGTTTATAGAGGGTGCTGGATTATAAAGTGCCGGATTAGAGAGGGACGACTGTACTAGTAGTGCCAGTAGTGGTGCGCTAGCCGCTAGGCGGATCTGCCGCATGATGTCATGCATGCAGTGTTGCCAAATAATTTTCGCCCAAAATCGGACACCCTTCGGCTTCACCGCCAAGGCTGAAGGCTGGCCATATGCCCGATGGGCGATGGTGCGAATTTTTCTCCTCGGCAAATTTTTAACAGAGAATTCAAAATATCGCCTAAACACCACGAAAATTCGCTTCGTTGCCATGGTAGCCCCAGAGTTTACATGAATTTTGTAATGATGTGTGTGGTCGCACACTGACTCTGGTCAGACTGTGAGTGTACATGCCATCCAACCTGATCCAGGCATGTTACTTTGCACCTCAGCTCCACAGCCAAGCCCTAGCCTTTTTAGAAGCAAATGTACAGTGATTTGTGCCTTGGCTTCAGTTGCGCTGAATTCATGAAAAGTGAAAGTACAGGACTTCTGCATAGGAAAGTAATGATCTCCGACATTTTGGCTGCTTTTCGGACGTTTCCCTTTTCGGACCAGTTTTCGGAAGAGCCTTCAAAAATCGGACGGTTTGGCAGCACTGGGCATGGTATGCATACTGACTGAGTCTTTGCAGTGTCGAGTATACATGTACTAGTACTACTACAGTGCTGGCAACTGAAATCTGACCCCCTTGCCGGGGCGCCGCGCCGGCAAGGGGGTCGGATTTCAGTTGCCAGCACTGTAGTAGAGTAGGTACATGTACGTCACTTTCTTTACTAGTCTTTTAGTCGGCTGAATATTATTATCATGGTTGTGTAAGTGCCACAGACACAGCTACAGGGCGCTGAGATGAGACTGAGCATGAGGGCAGCAGCATATGGCAAGGCTGATGACACACTCACACTGTAATCAGTAAAACACTGTGAAGAAATCGGTTGTTCCAACGAGGAACACACGCTTCCTGCCGAACTGTAATAGTGTATGGAAAAATTAATAGTGTTCCTGACTGCAAGGAGGGACTGGTTGGTAGCTTGGGTCCCATGCAGTCTTACAACCACTCACATGTACCTTATGAACCAGGGAGCCGTAAGATACCGGTATTTACGACGCCTTGATACGGATTATGAACAGTATGGGGTTATGCCCGGTTCAGACCCTCTGTATTCTGGGGGGGGGGGGGGGGGGGGGGGGCAGGGCACCACCACCACTATACACATGTGTGCAAGAGTGCATAAACAAGAGTATGCAACTGTGGTTATGGGTCAGTGCGCGGCGCGCTGCCTTCATTATGTAACTTGCCTTCATCACGCTCTGAAAGCATGCATTCAAACTCACAATTTCTCGTACGAGCCCATCTGTTTTTGCTCGATTCGTTCCAGTACCTACGCAATCTCTAAATTCTGGCGCGTGAACTTCAGTTCCGTACGAAAGTTTATTTCAACCCAGAGGAAAAGTGCGGTGTTCGATTTTCCGCAGTGCGCGGACTGCAGCTGAATGATGTAATGAAGGCAGCGCGCCGCGCATCTGGCCCATAGAAAAGAGATCACAGTTGCATACTCTTGTTTATGGACTCTTGATGTGTGTACTAATGGTATGGTTCAGATTTCCGCAATTTTTTTAAAGATATTAAAGGGAACTAATTACGGGCCAGGTCTCACATACGGGTACTCGGAGCAGTTTTACGTATCACAAAGCACGGAGCAGCAGATCCAAAACCCACATTAGGAATTCACAAACGCACATACTAATCTATAAGTGATCCCTGGTGTATCTGCGTCCGGTACTGTTGTACTTTAAAAACCTAGCACATGGCACAGGAGTGACCCAAACTGAGCACTGCTGCACCAACATGACAGCAAAGCTCACACAGAAAGAAAAAAAAGAACTGAACACGTCCATTGTCATCTATTGCAGTTGTCACGCACAGTTGTGACTATTCTCGTCAGAAGCATTGCAACGCAATGCACTGTCTCTAAAGCAAATTATAAAAATTAATGATCACCTATTAGTAGGTTATTACTAAGTCGTAGATTTTCAGGCAGAGGCGCCTTCTGAAAAACATACTTCAAAGTACTTTTGGAATAAAACGTCACTCGGTTTGGCCATGCCAGATAGGCAATAACATTCGAAAGAAAACAACTCTATCTATACATGTATTGCATAAAATAATAATAAGAGTTTGGAACTTTGGACTACATGTATCTAGATGCGTTTGATAAATTAGAACCCGAGGTCTCAACACCACTGGAATCGGTATCAAAAGATATTGAATTTTGGAAATAATCCGAAAGCCACAAAACAAAAGATACCTAGTACTAACCTAACACGGGAACACACACACACACGCACACAACTTCAGCCAGAACGGGTGCCTACCTGGCACCATAGTACACAGTGTATACCCGGTGGCCAGTAGCCGCAGCCACACTCAATGATATAGAGGAATTCTGATTTGGAGCTGAAGTACTGATAACGTGGGCTATATTACGGTCATCGTTGCAATGTCGGCAATGAACCCTGTTGGAAGAAGGTTTGAACCATGGCTACACCGCGACGAATAGAAGGAGACGATTCACTGCTGATGATCGTGCGTGTCAAATGGTAGGAGGAGGAAACTAAAACAGGCGGTTGGTGCCATAATGGTACACACATGCAAAACTGTCTGAGAGCGCATATACGAATAGAAACAGTGGTGGACGGTTTCCATGACCCTCTTGTGCCTAAGAAACAAACATACCTTCAAAGCACATGGAAGATCCAATCAGCAGTGGGCAAGCAGCCAGACTTCCGTTCCGTACCATCTCTCCTACGATGATATCAAACGTTCAGAAAGGTTCATGGCAGCACTAGCTTGTCGAGGCAGCATGTAGAAACTCATTGTGCCGCCTGGACAGTTCAGAGACGATCAAGTCTTCGAGCTCCCTCTCCGATTCGGTAGACACGCTGATCTCCACCTGATCACTCAGCGTCACAAACGTCACCTTATTCCGGCGTGTGGAAAGCAAATTGGAGATGACCACCTGGAGATCAGAGAAGTGAAGCATGAAAAACAATAGTGCAGAGAAGGCTCATTAGAGAGGTTCCGCACTACGTAAAAGTTGAGCAACTTTACGTTAGTGGGCGGGAAAACCCGTGAATTCGCGAGTTTGCACTCCACTTACGGAAAGTTGTCTACGGAGAGTACGTAGATAGGGCTCTGATAACGTAGCTGGTCCGTAAGTGGATTGGGGTACAAATTTATGACTCTCTCCCCATGTCGATCTGGTCGTACACTGCCGCATTCGGAGTTGCCAAGGGCAGCTACGTGATTTGAAAACTCCGTATGGCGGAACCCAGATGCGCATGCAGTTTACGTAAGATTTTCCGTAGATCGACTACGTTTTTTACTAACGTAATTACGTTATGCGGAACCTCTCTAATATTGGTACTTCTTGAGTGGGAAAGTGTATCCCGACGGTGCACCAGTAGGGAACTGCGGTGCATGTATTTGTCAAGACCTGATTGCAGTATCATTCATTGGGCCTGGTTCCCGTTTATTGTGCGAATTAAAACAAACCAACCAACCAACCAGTACCGTAAACAGAACACTTACTTGATGCTTGTACTTCTCCAGTGCCCCACGTGCTTTCTCTGCAATGATCCTTTCATCTGTTTCCAGCTGCGAAGGACAAACAGCAGAGACCAGTAGAACATGTTCAGTTGAGACGAATACAGTTGTTTCTCTGTTCTGAGTTGTTCTCTAGCATGCATTGACCTCGGGAATGATATTCGGATGCACATTTGGCTGTACATATGGGGCTTGAAAATAGGAAAAACGCGATATCCAAACTTCAGGGCCTCGTAGGTACAACAGAATGCATAAGCAACCCAATGTGAATACCGTTTCTGAGGTCTATGCATGAAAGAGAGGAACTTGGAACAGAAAAAACAGTACTTATTGTGTAAAAGCAAGGGGAGCGCCGTTGTAAAACACCATGATCCACACGATCACATAATCAAAGAAGATTTCCATGCAAAACGTGAGGTTCTTGTAACTTGTAACAGGTCGACTAAAGGGCTGGAGCAATAGTAAGCATACAACGCAGAATATAGCATCTCGAAGAATAGCTACGCTTATGAATGCACCCTCTTTTTGAAGGTAGCACATGCGTAATATAAGCAGTAGAAAGTGCCATACAGGATGCACAATGAATTCTCTAAGAATCCATACACAACACAACGATACCTTGAAGGACACGGTGAATGCTGATGAAGCCCAGTCCTTTACCAGCGGTGATAGCATCTTGGGTACCTGCTGCAAATGTAGCTGCATCGGGCCACCGCTTGACTGGATTTTGTGCTTGGGCTGAGCATGGGGACACACACACACACACACCTTGAACGCCCATTGCCGCAGCAATGATAGCGATGGCTTGGGGTGGTAGCATCCCACAGAAGGGGAAGGTGGTTCTTGACCTGATCTGTCAGACGATTTCTTTACATAAAATGGTTTTGGAGGTGTTCAGATATGTTTTATTAATTTTATATTATAGTCCATAACATCCACGAGGATCACCTTTGCTAATAGGGAGGATTTTGATATTTGTTAGATTTTGGAGGTTTCCCAAGGCTTGTTCACGACGATTGAGGTATGGGCCAGTGCTCTGCCATTGTCTAGGGCTTCACCGACTTTCTTGCAAGTGCCTCGCACTTGTAGTAGGCGTTCTGGTGGTAAGGGACCCACACTTCTCGTACCGGTAATCACCTCTTCCCTCGGGGAGCTGTTTGAGTGGGAGAGTGAAATCAATGCCTAAGTTGGGAAGGCTGGTTTCACCTTTCTGCAAGGGTGTGAGAGGACAAGTTAAGAATGTTCGGTTTGCCCAGCGTGGTCGCATGTTAGGAAGGGTGCGGGGTGTCTGGGGAAGTAGCTTGTCAAGTCAGGAGCCCTGTTTCTTACAGAGTGTCCCGCACTTTGCAATATGCTGTCATTATCATGTCTAGAGACTTGCAGAGAGAATGACAAGTGCTATCTCAAACCGATAGTATGAGAGCTAACCTATAAGCACTACTAACTAAAAAAGCTATTGGGCTCATTATCCAGAGCAATAATCATGTAAAAAAGAGGGAGAGAGAGAGAGAGAGGCCATGATGTTCGCCCCATACCATTTCTTCCTCGGGTAGGTAGAAGTCCGACACAGCTGCTGCCAGGTAGAACAGAGCCAGTGGGCCAGCGGTTGATAACACCATGGAGAACTCGCGCAGGTAGAACAAATAGTCGGCTAACGTTGTGAAGGAGACAGCCAGGTAAACGCTGGATTTACAATACTAATAATACACGAAAGCACAAACAAAAACACAGGTACACACAATCATGGAAACTTGAAAAGGATCTCAAAGGATCTCATTGCACCAGATTCATGATAGTTCAAACCTTCAGATGTGAAACTCCTACTTGAATATTCTTAGAGTATAATTGGATCAAATGCGTTTTATTTGATGATGATCTAATAATAATTTGACTGCACGGATTTTCCCCCATAATACTCTAAGAATATTCAAGACATTATAACACGTTTTGCCTGGGCCAGGTGTTGCAAAGAAGCTTACTTTCTGGAAGTTTTGGAGTTGACAACTGACATCGCTAGCCACAGAGGATTTCACTGCAGAAAACCAGACACAGATAGTAACACAAACCTGGAAGGTTTAAACTGAAGCTCCGCAGAATCAAATACTTGACAAGGAGCACATGGATCACAAACACAGCTATATAGACAAGAGAAACAAAACAAAGACAACCAAATTGGCCATTCAGAAAGTGCAGAAAGCAAGCATTGCAACGTACGTTTTTTTCTGCCATAACCCTAATTACAGTTACTACCGTAAAGTACCGCCAGAGCGCCCCACCTTCTCGTCCTTTCCTGGTCGTATTGTGGAGGTGATTTCCCACCCGTAGGTCATACGACACGAACCTTGTACACACGTCGCACGCTGTGCACTCAATCCGTACTCAGTTTGCCTGCAAGCGGACATGAGTTCCACACAAAAACCTGCCAAGTGTGACCTTAGTATACTACGGTTCTCACGCCGTACAAACTTCGTTGCACTCTGCCATACGAATTTCCTTTCCCTGGCTGTAAAATCAAGGTGGGGCGCTCTGGCGAGACGGGGCGCTCTGGTGAGACGGGGCGCTCTGGCGAGACGGGGCGCTCTGGCGAGACGGGGCGCTCTGGCGAGACGGGGCGCTCTGGCGAGACGGGGCGCTCTGGCGAGACGGGGCGCTCTGGCGAGACGGGGCGCTCTGGCGAGACGGGGCGCTCTGGCGAGACGGGGCGCTCTGGCGAGACGGGGCGCTCTGGCGAGACGGGGCGCTCTGGCGGTACTTTACTGTACTACTACAGTGAGCCATTTGACCTTTGACCTCGGATATATAGTACCGCGGCTATATTAAAAGTCCAGATTTTACGCTCTTTATAGGACGTTGTATACTGACGTTTCACTGCACCTGCATGTAAACTTTAAATTAGCTGTAGCGGCGTCTTGAAACCATCCTCCTGCAAGTACAGATGCTGAAAAAAGAAGAGCGTCTACAGGCTTAGTAAACCTTGCACACATGACTTGCTTACACAATATGACCTCCTGAGTCCTGGTTCTGGAAGTTACGGTAACTGGCTGTGCACCCGGGTACGGCAGAAGACGATCAAGAGCTCATAGAGACGCCAGAACATGACCATTTTTAAAATACTTCTGAAGTAGCATTACACATTTGCAACACCCCAATCGGTTGATGTGCATGGTGCCTGTCTAGGTTAATTCACAGAGCCCGGTGAACCCTTACCGACAGCTGTTGCCTTTCCGGATGCTTCAGCCTCCAGCTCCAGGATGCTGAAGAGCGACTGGTGCGCCCAGTGACGGCTGAACGGCTCCAGTGACCGTGCACGGTGGAGAAATATGACTGCATAGCCCTCTTGGAGAAAGTATCTATGCTCAATCGGCTAAGGAAACATCAACAAGCGTCAAACAGCTAATGCACTTCCGTGTGCTTATTTAAAAGTTCTTTTTGCAGAAAGAGGATGAGAAATTATGAAAGCACGAGGAAATGTGCATGTTCTAGGTGGACGAGGTGGGGGGGGGGGGGGGACTCCCTAATCCAAAGGTACCCCCCATACAAACCACTTGGAGATGGCCCTACGCCCCGAGGATTGTGGATATTCAGCACTCTACTGTACGAATAATATACTTCAAAGTATGCTCCAAGTACTACATATTTGTAGTACATGAAACACTGAAACCAGAGGCTGTTGCAAAGGATACTCGGCTGATGCAGCACCACGCGTGCCAGAGCTGAAGTTATCCACAAAGCGAACAGTGTTGCTTTCCAGAGGAACTGCAGTGCCACCAGACTGAAACAAGAGAAAGCAATGCAGCACAACGCGACTTGAAGTACACTTACGGTACTGTGACTAACAGTCTGCATAAGAAGTACAGCGGCGGCAGGTGAATTCCGTCCACTGTAATACTGAAAGAGATGCGTATTTTGCGCGGAAACTGCAAAGGAAGCCAAGCAAAGAGCAGGCAGGTGGGCCTGTGCTCGCGTTGAACCGTGCAAAGCCAGGGGACAGTTGGATCTCTTACTCACTTGCCACCACCGTACATAATTATATTCAAACAACTGGACATGCCGGGCATGATTACACTTGTATTTAATATGATGTATTATCTTCCTTACTGTCATGGCTGGCTGTCGTCCCCTCCCACCACTTTGACCTCTATTTCCTGGCCACGGGGAGGTGACATAACAAGAGAGCTGCGAGCTGGATCAGGGCCCTTGCTATGCTCGTTCCTCACCTAGGTCATCATACGAGCAACTCAAACTGATACAAACGTCATTGCAATACAGTTATTCTGACGGATAGCGGGTACACGTGCTGCAAAGATATTTCTATCTGTTTGAGTAGCTTGCAGGCTGACCTAGGTAAAGAACAAGCATGGCGAGGGAGCTGGTCCAGCTGGCAGCCCTCTTGTTATTTATTCATTGCTCGCAATCGGTCACGTGCTAACAAACTTACCTACGTGTTCACCTGTATACTGCTACCCTGTCATCATTCACGCCATACATGCATGTACATTTGTAGGTGATCTCCGCTCACTCGTACATGCTGTCATGTGATCACATGCTCGACGTGATATGCGAACAACGCCCATAACACACACACACACACACACACACACACACACACACACACACACCGGCTACGGCAAACGTACGTCGCTTTGTGATGTCACAATGTTTTTGGTCAGCTTCGGGAATAAATATGATAGACTGTATTGGCTATAGCCAAGAGTACACAACGGTCATACCCCAAGAGTGTGCAACTGCCTGCACAACCTCTATACAGTGCTGCGACGGCAGAACTTCATATCACGTGACATGGTTCAAAAGGCTACACTGGCAAACAGTGCAAAGTGACCACAAGAGAGTAAGACCCAAAGCAGGGTTGCATACAAGCCTATATCTATCATGCACAGGGTGCAAATAATGTGTATAGGTTTGTCATGTGATGTGAAGTCCGATTTTGCCAGGGAAACTTCGATATTTTGCCGCAAAATTTTGCTCGCTCATCGTCGATATTTTGCTTTCATTTTGCCAGGTCACTCGATATTTTGCTCCCTTTTTGCTCCAATGCAAGACCAAATTTGGGTCACTTGTAGGAAAACTGACCGAAGTGGGTCACGTGTTGCCAAAAATGAGAAAAAATGAGTCACTTGTCGGCAAAAATGAGAAAAAATGAGTCACGTGTTGGCAAAAATGTACGAAAATGAGTCACATGTACCGTATAAGTGTAAAATTTCCCAATTTCCAGCGAACATACCGATATTTTGCTCCGTTTTGCCAGCAAATTCTTTCGTCAAAATTCTCGATATTTTGCTAGCAGAATTGCTAGCAAAATCGGGCTATGTCTACCGCAGACCCCATAGCTGGAGTTGCATACTCTTGGGGATTATGACTGTACTCTTGCTATAGCGTACCATTAGATTTCTGCAATGTTATCACTATATCCAAGAGTACATAAACCAGAGTGTGCAACTCGGGATGGTTCCTGTGGGAGCGTAATTCGTGCACTACGTCATTTCTGACGGCATGGTAAGCCACAGGTACGGTGAAAAGTTGCGTAACCAGTCGCGGTGGTGCAGTTCACTGAGTTTGTCCTGATTTCGGTTTTTTGAGACGGATAGCCTGGTGACTTTACATGTCGGTGGATGTACGCAGCGTACACAGTCACACAAAACACCGAAATCCTGAAACAGGACGTCTAAAATCAAGCAAACTTGGCTGATTTCCGGGCTATGAAACATGAAAATTTGAGCTCTACGCAAGTCGCGGCTTGGCTGATCTCATCAGGGTGACGTAGTGCACGAACTGCGCTGTTTCAGATCTGATATGCACAGTTGCACACTCTGGTTTATGTACTCTTGCTATATCTGATGCAACCATACAAACAATAATTCATGCATATTATCATAATTATATGATAATTTAAATTATAGTATAAAAAACCTCCAGTCAATTTCCTGTTCTAAAAAGCAGTTACAGTACATCTTGTATTTTACACACGGTTTTCTACATAACATAACTCTCAATATAACATAATTTGTGCGTGGTCCCAGAGATTACGTTATATGGAGAGTAGACCTGTAATATTTCTGGTAATCACTCATATAAAAAACCTGGTGCTATAAAAAACCTGTATAAAAAACCTGGTGCTGTAAAAAATCTGGTGCTATAATTATAAACCACTTTTTTAGGAAAATGACTGGAGGTTTTTATACTATAATTTAAATAGAATATAAGCTTTGCCCTCGTGTTTATGGGAAAAAACCCTCTGCAAAAAACCTCGGCTTCGCCTCGGTTTTTTATTTCCCGTAAACACTCGTGACTCAGCTTATATTCTAAACATACATGTACATATTATGCACATGTACATAAGTGGGTATACCCAGGTTTCAACACTAATATTATTTTAAGGGTGGCCACATCATGCGAATTATTTTGTCCAAAATTGAAATTCAAAAAGCGAAAAAACCGGTCAAAATGTTTTAAGAAAATTCAAAAAATCCCCCAAAATGCAGAAAAAATTCGATCCGTTGCCATGGTTTTTACAGTACTCATACCCAATACAGGTCGTCCCCCGTTAATACGAGTCCGGTTAGTACATAAACCCCGTTAGTACATAAGAAATCTCAAGTCCCGGACGAAACGTGGTCACTTCCATACAAATTTTGTCGGTTAGTACATAATCCGTTAGTACATAAACCCCGTTAGTACATAACATTTCTCCGTACCTGCATGTCACCTACCTCAATAGTACATAATTTACTTGTCTTTTGGCCTTCCAGTGGAGGCACATCGTGTTCTAGTTTCTACTTGTGGACGCAATTAGCATCGAAATCAGAGCGCACATCACAAACCGACAAAGCTCTGTTTTTTTTCGAGTGACTGTACAGGTGCGGCTGGGCATGTACCATGTCAACTGTAGAATCTTCGCTAAATGTGACCGTTATAACATAATTTTTATGTTATATCGAGGGAATCAAGAATATCTCGCTGCCTAGTCATGGTAGCAAGAAACACTCAGAAAAGTTGAAAAAAGTGAAAAATTCTGGTATACAAGCAAGTTATGTACACTTTCGTTTAGTACATAAACCCCGTTAATACATAACATTTGTCAAGTCCCAGAGATTATGTATTAACGAGGGACGACCTGTAGTTCCAAAAAATAAAAAAATTAAAAAATTAATCCACAAACTGCTTATCATGTGAGTCTGTGTGCTTCCAAATTCGGGGATGGGTGTCAAAAAGGTCAAAGGTGTGTGTATTTTAAAGTACTGTTTTCGCATGTCAAATTTGGTAATATTGAGCAGCACATGTACTCTCTAGATGTGACAGCACTGTCGTTCTCCAAAAACGGCCAAAATTCAATCCTGATGGGGCCAAAATTCCAAAAAAAATCAAAGTGCGAAAATCCAACCAAAATTCAAAAATAATTGAAAACATTTTGTGCACAAGCCTAAATATTATGCACATGTATACGTGAGGCACACAACCATGTCCGCATGGTAATGTGTGTAGCACTAACAGTTAGAAACTTAGAATTGTAGATGTGTGCACTGCATGCACGCGGCTCTCGCGTACAGTACATGTACTGTCAACATGTCGCGCTGTCAGGTATTGTACACACTGCATTAAATCTGTGTTGATTCTGTGTTGCTTTGGCAGATAGACTAAAGAGAGTACTAGAGAGGTTCTGCAAAACGAAAATGCGTACAAACTTTCGCTCTACATCATGAAGTGCGAAACTTCGCACGAACTTTCGCAACTTTGGACGCGAAACGTGCAGGGAACGCGAAATGAACTGTCGTAGGAAATTTCGTGAGATCGGGTCATGGCGTACGTGCACTTGGCCCGCGCAAACTACGAAATGTGCAGAACGCAAAGTTCGTGCAAAAATTCATACACACTTTCGCAAGGACTGTCGCAAAACTTCGTTCGAATTTTCGTTTTGCAGAACCTCTCTATTATCAGGCTTTGGTGCATCGAGGACTTTGGTCACTATTTTGAAAACATTGATTTTGAGACATCTCTGATTTCGGAATACGCTTTGTGTAAAGGCTAGAAATAATTATTATTCCCGTAGCTATGCAGAAGACGTTACTTCAGTAACGTCTGGCGCTAGCCAGGGTCCACACAGCTTTAATTTGGTATTTGTTTGTGTGTTTGTGTCACGCCTGGCGCTATCCGTATCTGACGGCAAAAAAGCATAGGATGTTATAATTTTTTCAATTCTCCTATTTTTTTCAGGCATATCCTGGGATTCGAACCCGCACTATCGCCCTACATGCATTCCCCCATACACTTCGCATTCATACCCATTCTTCCAAGTTGCTTCACGTTATTATCTTGCGTTTGAAAGCCCTATTTGAATATTGCGGGCAGCTGTATGTGGCCAGCTGTGTTTGATGGTACGGTACGGTATGGGAGACGGTGTCGTATTACCCTCGATCGTACCTGTCCCGTACCTATCCCCTACCGTACCGTGCCATCAAAGACGGCTGGCCACAATGCATATTCAAATGCAAGATCACAATGTGAAACAACTTGGAAGAATGGGTATGAATGCGAAGTGTATGGGGGAATGCATGTAGGCAAGAGTTCATAACCCCCAAGAGTGTGCAACTCCTGATCAGTCCCTGTATGGAAGCCCGCTCGGCGGAATTCCTTCATTGCGTCATTTTTGGTGCAGTGCGATGAGTCACGCCGATGAATTCTTCTAAAATTTACAGTCAAACCAGGATGCTTCCCCAGGGTAAACTGCCTAAACTGCGATTCTAGTCTGAGCCTCGAGTCAAGAAGCAAAAGTGAAACAAAGTATGCACACGAATAGAAAGACAAAACTATTTTTTCGATGCAATGGTGACTCTTCATCGCCTTCTTCTTTCACCAGTGCAGTCAGTCTCTTCAAGAACAATTTCTTCCCCAGGCCATCGGCATATTTCTGGTGCTTTCCTGGAAGATAATTTCAAATGGTTGAGGAACTTGAGAATACGTCGAAGGAGCATTTTTCGGCTGAGTTGCACAGCTATCAGAATGATTGTCCTCGACGGCAATGCAATATTTTTAACAGCGTCCTCACTTCTTCCTGTCGCGATGTCCATGGATTCTTGGAGAAAGAGTTTGTTTTTGAGAAAGTACGACTTGTACGTCCGAAATGTCTTCAAAAAAAGCTTCGAAAAGTCGAGGCTACAGCCTTGAGTTAGGGGCGGTTCACAGTGGTTCAGGGTATAGTTTCCAGAAATCGCAAAGAACCCAAATTTACCTCGGATGACACGCTGCGCATGACGTAATGTAGGAATTTCGCCGAGCGCTGGGTCTATGCCCGTTGCACACTCTTGGGGGTTATGAACTCTTGATGTAGGGCGATAGTGCGGGTTCGAATCCCAGGATATGCCTGAAAAAAAAATAGGAGAATTGAAAAATTTATAACATCCTATGCTTTTTTTGCCGGTAGATACGGATAGCGCCAGGCGTGACACAAACAAACAAAACTTAATGTATGCGAAGTGTATTGGGGGATGCATGCAGGGCGCGCGATAGTGCGGGTTCGAATCCCAGGTTATGTCTTAAAAAAACGGATTTTTTAAAATAATTTATAACATCCCTATGCTTTTTTTTGTCTAGGGGTGCGTTTGGTTGGTACGATCTAGAACAGGATCGAACAGCTGGTGCACATGGAGCAGCCTCATGCCAACCAAACGCTACTCCAGAAACAGAGCACATTTTTGTGGAAAAATGTGCCGAACTTGGTGCATTCTTCAAAATGTGTATGGATCACCATGGTCACTTTGTACGGTACGACGAGTCCAACCCAAAAGCGTATGCACGTGATCATTTGGGAACAAAATCGATGTTCCCGCCAGGTTTCACTGTGAAAAAGTGAAACTGCTCGGTCTGCTCCGGCCTCGAGGCCGGAGCAAGCAGAACATGTTCTGGCCGACCCAGAACCAGAACAGGTGCAGTCCCAACCAAACGCGCTGTTCTGGTGAATCCTGTTCTAGTTCGTACCAACCAAACGCGCCCTAGGTCAGCAAGGCAAAAAAAGCATAGCGTAGGGCCCTGAGCTTCCAAGCTCTCTCATTATTTCATTTATACATAAACGTGTAAGGGGTCGTCCGTATTTTTCGAAAAATTAAAAAATCCGTCCTCAGGCAAAAAGGGGGTGGGTGGTGAAGAGTGCTGGCGGAATTTAATTTTTTGATTTTTCGTACTTTTTTTTTTGCTCCAGTGACTTTCATACACTTGTTGCACTGATTATAGCTGACTGTGTACTGCACTGTATACGTAGTGTAGGATCGATTGTCGCTAACACCAGTATCTACTATGATAATACAGGACTTTTCATGTAGTTGTAGGACGGTGCATGGCCGGGACGTCGGTAGACCTAATACTGTAAATCAACTAATTTTCGCTGGCGATTTAATTTCGCTGATTTCGCCGCTGGGTACCAACCGGCCAAAGTAAATCGCAGGCCAAAATTTGTCATAGAGGCAAATGATGCATTATTGAGCCATCGCTGCATGTGAGGGCAACAAATACCAATCGATTTCTTTTTTGAAAACCCAAATCGGCCAAAGTTAAATGACGGCCAAAAGTTTCCTTTCGAGATCGGCCAAAGTTTGTCATCGGCCAAAATTTGTTGATTCACAGTACTCACTGTACTTAGCTACTAGTACTTGACACAGGTGCAGTCAGAAAACATGGGGTCAGGAGTTCTTATTTTTCGAGCTGGGCATGCCGGCATCGGTAAAAATCAAAAAATTAATGGGAAAAAATGAGGGGTGGGTACGTGGGTCAGAGACAATTTTGCACGAGGACGGATTTTTTAATTTTTCGAAAATTACGGACGACCCCTAATGTAATATGGAACGATCGAATATTTTGTTCAATATTCCAATAAACAATACTACAGCTTGGTCCCTACCGTGACTAAAGCGATGCGACGCTTGGCCTTTGCATGTTCACTCACGAAACGACGGACTTGTTCAGCCTGAACCTGCAGCTTTGATGGCTCCTGAAGCTGCTGGAAATATACGTCCCATTCATCTCTTGCGCTCATGATGGCCGATCCAGTAGGCAGTAAAAAACCTCTAGTCTAGAATTGAAATGGCGATAGGCGATGGCACATAAAATATAAATTTAATTGAACACAAGCTACATCATGTATTGTGAAGCCAAGGAAGAAGATGATAACTCTTCGACCGCCAGTACAGTGCAGTGCAGTACACTCGATCTGTATAATACACTCGATCTACTAGTACTGCCTGGCGCATGGCGCAGTAGTACCGGGGTTAGTCCCGATCCCGTAGGGCCGTACCGTATACTGCATAGTACATGTACCTTCTGCATGCACCATGCACGTACAGTCGTACACGTAGATCTACACGTCGACATGAACATGACATGCATCATTGCGACACGTCGATCACCAGTATCAAGAGTAGACTCTCTCTCTACGGCCCAGTACTGCAGTAGGGCCAGTACCATGAGTAGATCTACGGGGGTTATGAACTCTTTAGTAATCATTGAGAGGGACCACAATCTACCCGGTCCCAACTAGTTACCCTCCCGAGGCCGGGCAGAAGAAATACATGTACTACACACACAACCACAAAAAAGACAGTTAGTGACTGGAGCAGATCTACCTCTTGAGCCTTGGCAACACCATGAACACTGAGCTGTCGACTTCTTGCAGGTCACTACAACTGAGACAGTGAGTGGCTAGCATTAGCAATGCATTCAAGAGTAAGAGACCATAAGTTAGTTAGGCATATTACTTATAACTATGATTAGTAGCCAGATGTCCAGATAACTACGAGCACCGGTAGTACAAGTAGCTACAATGATTATCATGATTATGTTGGGCTACAAGTTCAACTATGATTGGAACATAGCCATTGCAGGCAATATTATAATGTAGCTTGGGCTACAAGTTCAACTATGATTGGAACATAGCCATTGCAGGCAATATTATAATGCAGCTAGGGCTACAAGTTCAACTATGATTGGAACATAGCCATTGCAGGCAATCTTATAATGTAGCTAGGGCTACAAGAGTAAGCTGATGGGAACTTACTTACCGGTACCCTCTTGCTATACTGTTCTTCAGCATTCTCTGCTGGTAGACCTGCCCGGGTGCCCTGGCATTGGTGTACTAATACTATGCACTGAAGCCCTACCCTTCTTCAATGTACAACACACAGTGACACACACACACACACGCGCGCGCGAGTGTGCACACACGCACACACACACGCACACACACAAACACAAACACACACACACACACACTACTACTACTAATATGTACAACTGCCACAAAATGGCCACGTCGCTCCCAGAAGCGGGAGACAACAGCGAGAAAGGAAAAGCAACAAGGAGAGTAATTGAGGTGAAAGGGGACCGTTCTACACACAGTGTTTCTGTCTTCGGTGGCGGGTGAGGTCCTGCGCGCGCACACACACACACACACACAAACACCATGTGCCATGTATACGTCCGGGCTGTCGCAAGAGAAGCACGCAAATCTGCAAATGCACTGGATGTGCACCCACAGATTTTCGCTTATAGCAACGATAGCGAACAAGATCTGAATGAGACAGATCAAGACTTGCGCCAGATAACTGTCTAATCCACACAACACACACACGCGCACACACTTGTGCTTGTACTTGTTGCTCAGTGCCAAAACTGGTTACGTGGGTCTCCCCGGGAGAGGGGAGAGAGACTCAAAAGGAATCTTGGAAAGATGACTCAATTGGCTATTGAACCGCCCAACGGCCGACACCCCCTGAAATCCCCAAAACTCTGGGTGGACTTGAAAATGATCTCACTTATGGGCTCACCACACCTCACTCTCTCAGTAAGTGGGCGAGGACAAGGCGCAGAAAAAGGATTGACGGCATCAGGGTATCCGTCCAGGGATCCAACTGCAGTTACCCCTGCCCCCAGTGAAGGTAATACTTGCTACTACAATGCAGTGTGGGTGGCTAAATCAGAGTGAATCTGATATAAGCTTCACTAGCACCATTGATTACACATAGCCAGAAGCAGTCCATGCATGGTTAACAGGTATGTATACTTCAAATAGAAAGTATATGAACCCTGGAACCAACAAAAGTGGCAGGTACAACATTACACCTGCCGAGCCCGTTGGCAACAGACCCAACACAATCAGGCATAAGTGTACCTACCAACCGAACTAGCTGGCACGCACACACACACGCATACGCACACACACATGTATGCACGTACACACTCGCAATAGAAGCTGCAGCATTGCGGTGTTACTTGATTTCCTGAGCAGGAAATTCTGAAACGGTACACATATATGGAGTGTAGCAACATGCGGTTGTGCACACCAAGCCGGTGTTCTGTTCTGCCCCACGGCAAACGTAAAGAATTGTACAACACAAGTGACACGTTTCAAGAGGTGCCACAAGCTGTGTGAAGAGAGGAGACTTTCGGAAGGCAAAGGGCGGGATAGCCTTTACGTAGCAGAGATACATGACGTCTACATTGCCACACTGAATGCGACTGTCACCAATGCTACAGGGTGATTTAAAAAGAAGGGGGGGGGGGGCAGAATCCATTATGGTGAACAGTCAATTACATGGACATCTCGTGCTCTCTCTTCCCCAGAGAAACACCATCCATGATTTAGGTACAACATTGCATGTGCTGAGGAAGTAAAAGAAAAGCTTCAGCCGTTTACATGGTTTAGGGTGTCTAGGAGTAGTCTTATCTATGAAAGTGTGTAGATATGAGCAGGGAGTAGTAGACTTTAGTAAATCTAGTACTCCCTGGGTACTGGTATACGCCTCCATAGGTGCAAAGCTAACTTGCAGACTGAAGGCAAAACCCGAGGAGAATGAGTGTTAGGTAAAGAAAGGAATTTTATAAAATAAGGTAGTTCTGGGTGTAGGCTGCATTGCCCTTTGCAGCCTTCTTGAGGTGGGATATCAAAACTTGGATTGAGTGGCATCGTGGTAGGATGGTGGCATCGAGCCCATCTGACCTGCGCCACCTTGCATTTGTTGCGGGTATCCTTGATTGGGGGCCATTTGCTGTGGGTATGATTGGTTGCCGGGTGGCATTTGCTGTGGGAATCCTTGTGCAGGTGGATATGCTGCTGTTGTTGTTTGTTGCATGCCAGCATTAGAATTCGGTTGACCCATAGCAGCGGAATGCTCAGGTTTCACTTCCATTGGTCCACCTGGATATTGACCTGCGAACTGCTGTTGCCCAGGATACGTCTGTTGACCCGGGTACTGACCAGGTTGTTGACCTGGGTACTGACCGGGTTGCTGTTGTTGACCCGGGTACTGACCGGGCTGCTGACCCGGGTACTGACCGGGCTGCTGACCTGGGTACTCACCAGGTTGCTGTTGCTTCCCTGGGTACTGACCGGGATATTGGCCTTGCTGCTGCATGGGAGCACCAGCTTGCTGTCCAGGGTACTGTGCTTGCACAGCGGGTGTTGTTGGGTAGCTTCCCTGGGTGGCTGTCGCAGCAGCAGCCGCAACACCTAGAAACACACGATAACATCACAAGGCCGGCTTCAACAATTACCGTGATTACACACAGTACATCGTGCACCAGCGACTGGTAGTTTCAACACATCAAGCCAATCATTTAGTACTTTTCATTGCTGCCTATTGTAATCCCCATGGAGAACAGGCAACACACCAAATGTTCGCTATGAAGCTTTTTCACGGTTGTACCAACGGCCACCTTTTGGGGTCACGTGCGAGAAACCTTTTGAATCGCTGGTGAACAAGCGAAGCCCAGTTCACTTGTATGGGAGTGGATGCGTGGAGGTGAAAGAAGCAGTAGAATGGCGCTCCACTTTATGTCCAACACTGTTGTTGAGTCAGAGCAGTTGCCAGGAAGCCCTTCCATGGCTTGCGCGAAAAAGAACAAGCTTCAGAATCGCTCCAAGCGCTGATGGAGACGAACCTGTCACATTTCGTATGCTTTTCAATGTGCTTTGACATGCAACCTGTTCACCACAATGTCGGGGTGAGCGCCGGGGCGGTGGCGGGAACGGAGTCCTTGAAAAAGCTCTGTATCATGAGACTGCATCATGACCTTATTTTGTTCAGATTTCCATGAAATGAAGTACAATGTAGTGGGGTGGCAGATGTACTAAGTGTACACCAGTGAGCCGTAGGCTCTAGGGAGACGACACGGGATCATACTGTACCCGGAACGCTTTGACCCCGGATTTGGAGGTTCTATGTGACGTGTGGTCTACGCATAGTACGCAGCCCGCGATTGCGGACATGACCTGCTGACCCAAGACGCGGCCCAGTCCAGCGATGCTATATGTGAGCGTGTATAAATCGACCCTGCTGAAAGGCGACCGTGACAGGTAGTCCAGGAGCAAAACCAACGTCATTGCACGGTACAGTCATCAGTGTTGTCTCCATGGTATATAGACACCCGACTGATCATGGTCCAGGATCGGCCTACCATGGAGCGCTGAAATACAGTCCTGCCAGGCTGGTTGTCCAAGCACCTTGCTTTTAGTGTCAGTGGCGTAGCCAGGGGGGGGGGGGGGGGGGTGCTTTGGGTGCCCAAGCACCCCCCTCAAAAATTTCAGGTACCATTTTCGTACTGCTGTGGATCTACGCCCGCCCGCGATCGAGACTCGACGTCGACAAGATCGACGCCACACGATGCTGCGCTGCACGACGGGGCCCCGGCCAACTGTATTACTAGTAGCGCATGCAGGTTGCACTTGAGACTGCATGCATGGCTGCACATGCAGTCATGTTCTCGCGGGTGACAGGCGCAGTAGTGCTAAATTATTAATTTTAGTACAATGTAGTAGACTCTACTACCGGTACTGTAATTTGAACTAGTACTACCGTGGTAGTACTAGTTGTGTGTAGATCTTTGCCTTTGAATGTGAGTTTGGTCGTTTTCGGATGCACTGCGCATTGTACAACTAAGTACCGGTATCTCTTAGCCTGTCAAACCCTATATATAGGGTTTTCAGCCGCGCGTTCTATCTTGAGCTCTCTTGAGAGCCCACTTGGCTGCTATGGCAACTAGACGCCTGGGCGCCATGGGCCTACATACGTAGAATGTACGTACGGTTCTCTTGCTGAAGACCGTGATCATTTTGTTGCTGTTTTCTTCGAGTACGGTTAGTTTTAGTGCAGCGCTGTCGTAACATTTTCTAGACCCTATATCTAGGGTTTGATTTTTCACGATGGAGGAAGAGCAACTTGAGTTAGTGGAGACGAACTCGGGCGATGAGAATGTTCCTGGCGACCTGGTGTCGACTCAGGATGATGATGTCGATGTTCCAGCAGCGTCGGATGCTCCTGAAGAAGAAGGCGAAGCATCAACAGCGGCTGTCGCAGCTGCCGCTCCCGCCATTGCCGTTTCTGCATCAGCTGATCCACACGTGGGTCGGAAGCAGCAAATGCGGCGACACTCGCGCACGTCGTAGGAGCGCTCCTGCTAACATCAATGGCAATGCAGTGAAAATATCAAAAAAACCCAAGTGAAACTGTGTGTATTGTGTGCCCAGTTGTGAGGACTGATCAAACCCTTTCTTTAGGGGTCCTAACCCTATATATAGGGTCTTTATGTGTAGCGTTATGTCAAACCCTATATATAGGGTTTCCTGGTGACAGGCTAAGAGATATAGACTCGCACTTTGTGTAGCTAGACTTGGTGGAAGTGAAAGAGAAGTGTCAACGTCGTTTTGTGATCCGCAAGTCGAATGGATTCTTATGAAAATGTCGATCTTGAAGTATTTCAGTCGAGGGAAGTCGAAGAGACCAGATACCAGTAGCAGCAGTGCCAGTGCCATTTCCGAATCTGACGAATCTAATTGCGAAATTGTCGAAGTCGAAGACTCGGAAGAGCCGCAGTTGTCGCCCTTGGCTGTACCAGTAGCAGTCGTCCGAAATGACATCGGTACCTTCATGGAGGACATTGCGAAGGGTGCACCGCTCGACGACGACGTGATGTTTGCCCTGCTAAAGGACCATGTCCAACCGGATAGTTCGTTTGTTTTCCCGAAGAATGGTGGCCGGTCTTTTCAGCCCCGCTGGCTCGATGTATACAAGCCATGGCTGGTGTTTAGCCCTTCGCTTTCCGGCGGAGTCTGCGTTCCATGCTGTCTATTTGCAAATGCATTCCGAGGATCGTCGCTCGGTGTTTTGGCAAGACGTCCCTTGACGAACTTTCGGAAAGCACTGGCGCTCCTGGATGAGCATATGGGGAAAGCCTACCACCAGGACGCTGTGCCTGTGGTAAGAGCTGACGGCTTCCTCAGTGTCATGGAGGGGAAAACGAAGGACATAGCACAGCTGACCAATGATGGACTCGCGGCTAGGGTAGCTGCGAATCGCGCCAAGTTGGAGGCGATAATCAAAATCCTGATCTTGTGCGGCAGACAAAATATTCCTCTGCGAGGTCACAGAGACGCCAGCACAAACAAGGAGGCCGCGGATTCCGCAAACTGTGGAAATTTCTGGGCTTTGATGGACTTCAGAGTGGAGGCTGGTGACAAGATCCTAGCTGGTCATATTGCTTCTGCCCCAGCCAATGCAACGTACACGTCAGGAGATATCCAGAACCAACTGATCGACATCATTGGTGACCAGATTGCCCAGAGGATTGTTGATCGGGTCAAGGATGCTGGATGGTTCACGGTCATCGCTGATGAGGTGACAGATGTGGCAAACAAGGAGCAACTCAGCTTGGTGTTACGGTACGTGGACCTATCGACAAAGGTGGTTCGAGAGGATTTTGTCGTGTTCGTTGAGTGTGCAGCAGGAGTTACCGGAGAGGCCCTCGCTAAGCTGATCACGGATACCATCACCAGTCTTGGCCTTGACCTTGGCAAGCTCCGTGGACAGAGCTATGACGGAGCAGGCAACATGGCAGGAGCCAGGAAAGGTGCCGCTGCCCGTATCACAGAGAAGTACCCCCGAGCTTTGTACCTGCACTGTGCCTCGCACTGCCTGAACTTGGTGGTCGTCTCGTCTCTGCAAGATCGTTTGGTGCAGAATATGATGGGCGTCGTCACCCGAGTAGCAGTTTTCTTCGACTCCCATCCGAAACGCCAGAAAGCGCTCGAGGCCGCTTTGAATGATGCAGATGAGGAACCTGATACATCCAAGGTAAAGGATCTCTGCAGGACACGGTGGGTGCAGCGTCTTGATGCACTGGAATCCTTCCTGGCCCTTCACCCCATGCTTGTGGTCTGCTTCAATGCAATCCTGGATGAAGGTCCCCAGGCGTGGTCAAGAGACTCCATTACGGATGCGAATGGTTTGCCGACGGCTATCACCAACACCGACTTTATCGCAGCCTTAGTTATTGTCAACAAGTGCCTTCATTACGTGCGTGGCATCACCTCCAGTCTCCAAGCAGAAGCCAAGGACTTGATTGCAGCAATGCACGATGTGAGTTCCGTCACAACCACACTGGCAGAAGTCCGAATGTGAGGCAGTGCACGTTACGCCATCACTTCCTAGGCTGTGTGGTCGCCAGACCCAACGGAACAACGTTCAGGCCGATACGCCCGTCCAGTACTACCGACGTGCCCTGACAGTGCCCATTCTGGACCACATGGTGTCGGAGATAGAGGCCAGGTTCACGCCGCACCACTCGACCGCACTCCAGGGCTTCTGTGCCATCCCAGCACTGCTGCTAAAGATGTCCATGGACGCTGCGAAGTCCCAAGTACAGGAGCTGGTGAAGCTGTATGACGACGACTTTGTGTCTGGCCGTAGTATGGAGGCTGAGCTCCACTGCTGGCGCGTGAAGTGGGTGAAGGCAAAGGCAGAGCACGGTGAAGCTAGCTTGCCGACCTCGGTATCAGCAGCGCTACACCACGCTTCCCAGATGTTCCCGAACATCCGCTGCCTTCTGCAGCTTCTTGCAACCTTGCCAGTGACGTCTTGCTCGTCCGAACGGTCCTTCAGCGCCCTGAAACTGGTCAAGGACCGGCAGAGATCAGTGATGAAGAACTCCCGGCTGACTGGCCTCACCTTGCTGCAGGTTCATCATGACATTCCAGTTGACGTGGGTGCGGTCATCGATGAGTTTGCTCGCCGCCATCCACGACGAATGCAGCTGGTGAATGTATTGCACAGTGAATGATGCAGCGTACTGTGGTACATCTCACTCTGGCACATCTGGACTGTAAATACAAATCTCATGAGGCGGATTGAACATGAGCACTCGTCGGCAGACATACGTAACCTCTAATACCTGTATAATAAGATTTCCCCTGTATTATAAAATTTTCCTATCCTGGCTGGTATAATGTGCAGCAGTGTACTGGTGATTACATGTATTCAATCGTGGATTGAACGAACTTCAACAATTGTCTGTATTATATTCTGGGTCTAACCACACCCTGTCAATCTCTTACCATCCAACTTCTGTAGCAAAGTACTGTGCGTTTCATACGATTATCTGACTTTTTATTGAATCATTGGTGGAATGGAAAATAATGAAATAGATGCAAAAATGAAGGATTTGGCACTCAATATTGAAAAATTTTCCGGGGCAGGGCCCCCGGACCCCCCCATTTTTCGCGCCCTTCGGGCGCAGGCCCACACTTCCAGTGAGCACCCCCCTCAGCCACAATCCTGGCTACGCCCCTGAGTGTCTAGCTCAGTGCATGACTTTGTACTTGCAGGTATCCTCACTCCATTCACCAACAATACGGACACACCGAACGAAGTAGAGACAAAAATGTGGCTGTCACTACATGCACGTTGGGGTGATTACGATCACTGAGTATCAGAGTGACATGGACTATCAGAACACAACCTCAAACCAGCTCACCCGAGAGCGTTCAGATAACTGGGGTGGGACTGTAAATAAAGCCAAATCTGCTATTTTAGGCTGGATAGGAGAAGATTAATTCTTCGTAATATTTGTGCAACCGTGAAATGGGTTCAGCTGGTGAAGTGAGCACAACGGAAGAGAGAGAGCCATCACCAGCACAACAACAGTGAGTCCTACCTGGATTGCCTCCTACAAGCACTGTCCTGTTATTGTTGCTGGTTCCTCGGCTGCCATTCATTTTCTTATGCAGAGGGCAGCACGCACAGCAGAAGCAGGAGACGACAGTGATACCGGCAAGCAGCATCAGCCCACCAATGGCACCAGCAATGATCCTGCATGGTTAGAAAGTCCACAGTCGATGTACAGAAGAGTCACAAAAAAAGACCCGACAAGAAATATTTCAAGTATGTCGAGGGGAATTCACAGGATTTTCGCTGTGCCATGCACGGGCAATGTCTGTGTTAGCGACATGCTATTCCAGAAGAAGTCATGCAGCATTGTAGCATTTGATTGTTTCTACCTCCCGGCTGTGTTTGCACGGCAGTTTCCAATGCAGGTTGAAAACTAGGCCATGTTCCATGTTCACACAGGCAAGAGTTGAGCTCAAGGAGAGTGCCAAAAAGGCAACAAAAGTCCACTGACAGAGTCTTATGCGGCTGTTCGATTCATTCGGCAGGAGATTTTAATGGGTTATGCTATGCGTACCTGTCATCAAGTACACGTGAATGTGTTTCTGACTTCATCAAGTTTAACTATCCCGCTGTTGTTGGGTTGAGACTAGGGGTGAAACGGTTCCATGTATTTCATGTTCGGGTACCCGAACGCCAGCATAGCTTTCCACGGTTCGGGTATCGGTTCCATGCACTCTTTTCTCCAGACCGACAAAATGCGTTCGTGACAATTATTTTTTAGAAAACATTTTTACGAGCAAGAACCAGACATCGGAGAGTCCATGTACGTGCGGAGAAGATGACCAGGAGGACCCTTTGGAAGAGCGGTGATTGTAAGGTAATAAAAATATAAGACATTTAAACCTTGACAAGGCTCGAGTAGTCTTGACGTGTACGTGTATTTGTACTAGAACGAGATTTTTCGAGTTTCGGTTCGAAATTTGACGGAACGGGTACCCGATTATTTTTAGCTGGCGGTTCCAAAACCGGTTCCTTACCCGAACCGTTTCACCCCTAGTTGAGACTTCAACCTGGCCCAGCATAGGCAGCACTTACCCAATGATTTTCCATGGCGGATTACAGCAGTAACTGCGTCCGCTCCGTGAACTGGAACTACCATCATCAGTGTAGTCAGATTCGAAGCAACAAGACGTGGCATCTTTACTGTCATTTTCCCCCGGGCACGTCTTCCCGCTTTTCTTAGGCGGTCCAAAGGGATCATGGCCTGGTTCCAAAGGTCCATGAGCATCGCACTCGGTAGCTGCACACAAAACAAACACATGTATTAAAGAAGGAATGCAGCACACAGGTACAATAGCAGCAGGCACATGAGAATATCAAGTAGACTGTCTGACATAGAGCACAACGTGAGGTCACGAGTACATTAGTCAAGACGACATGTAGATCTACCATAAGTTACTTTATGGTAGATCTACATGTCGTCTTGACTAATGTACTCGTGACCTCACGTTGTGCTCTATGTCAGACAGTCTACTTGATATTCTCATGTGCCTGCTGCTATTGTCTAGACTCATGATATTTTGCAGAACCTGTGTGCTGCATTCCTTCTTTAATAATACATGAACAAGCGATTGTGCTTCATCATGGCGCATGGCGACTTTTATTCCAGACAGTTTTACAAAACACATCAAGTTCTGTAGATCTGAACTTCACAAAGTCATGATCTACATGTATGCAGAATTGAAAATGCTGATACAGTGGTCCCTCTATAATCCAGCACCATCTGTGCCACGGAAATCTGCTGGATTAGGGAGGGTGCTGGATTAACAAATCGGATTTTCTGCTAGAATGTGCATGAAAAGGACAATCATGTTGGCTACTGAAAATTGTGCTGGTTTATCGAGGGTGCTGGATTATAAAGTGCTGGATTAGAGAGGGACGACTGTACATGTAGATCTACATTGTACATGTATATGGTGAGGTGGCTGAGTGGGAAGTTCTCTGTGAGTGAGTGGGTTTGGTTGAGTTAGGGGGCTACTGAGGGAGATTTGACGACAGTAGAAATACACAAGTCGATAGATAGACAGTATGGTACACACCACAACAAGTTCTCCTCACCCGAAATACAGCAAGGCAATGCAACAAGCAGCAGGAAGCTTAGAAGACACACGGTGGAGGGTGCCATCATCAGCTCAAGCTCAACTGCAAACTCTTACTCCGACGAACAACTTCTTTACTAAATGGGGTCGGTCAGCAGACAGGGACTAGACTGTTGGTAAGCAAAAGAAAACGGTATTCTAACTAAATTACTTCAACTTGAAGCACCTGACTGCTGAGTACATTTGTGGATCCGGGAATTGTGGGAAGAAAACAAAACTATACTATACTCCGGCAGTAGGTAATACTATAAACTAACTACATGAAATTTAGGTCAGTTGTCATCAACAAAATTCGATGCCAAGCCTCCTCTCCTGGCATCACTTGACAATTCGCGGTCGAGAAGAGAAGATCAACAAGACTTTCAAGTCTAGACTGACACTGGACGGAACACTGACGAACAGCTTGAACACAGACACGTGTGCGGTAGCTGCGGACTAGCCGACTCGACTGCAGATCAAATGTACGAGTCGCGCTCGTACTTCATTCACTTCGAAGCAGTAACGACGTTAGTTCGAGTCTTATTTGCGCAAGTGCGCGTTTGCGGACCGCGGTGCACCATGCATGCATGCATGCACCAGGGAGTCGTAAAATACCGGTATTTTACGACTCCCTGGCGCCGACTGATGAGGTCAGCAGAACATGGCCGGCGCGGCATTGGCCGCACTGCGCACTCGCACTCAGCGGCGCATTGTGTACGTAACACGTGATCTAGGTCCACGTGCGAAAACTCCCCGATGGCATTTCAAAATGCTCGATCAGTGCAGTGACGATCAAACACACACACACACACACACACACAAAACCTCAAGCTCTGCATGCTAGCTCTGAACAGAAAGCCCAAACTCTCTTGTTCTTTGTACCAAACAATTTCAGTTTCTCGAACTCAAACAAGATGAAGGTCGTTCAGCTTCTCTCCGCCTTTGTGCTGTTGGCAACCCTGAATTTGGTCGCGGGAGCGGCTGATACCACAGTGACTCATAAAGTGAGTACAATAAGTACAATGACTATGTACAACGGAACATGTATTTTGCTTCATTGTAAAAAAAAAATTAATTACCTGTATGCTGTGCGGATCAGTGCAGCACGTTCTGACCACGGGCACTCGTAGTGAGTTCAGGGCAGTGTGAAGTAACAGTACAGCATACAGTATCCACACCTTCATTGCTATACATGTTATAGTAAAGTGCTGGTAAGGCATGTGTCCACCTTGGTTAGCGTGTAAAGGAAACCAAGAATACTTGCATGTACATGTAGAACATGTACTACATGTAGTAGCAAGAGTGCATAAACAAGAGTATGCATCTGTGGTTATGGCCCAACTTATGGGTCAGTGCGCGGCGCGCTGCCTTCATTACGTAACTTGCCTTCATCACGCTCTGAAAGCATGCATTCAAACTCACAATTTCTCGTACGAGCCCATCCGTTTTTGCTCGATTCGTTCCAGTACCTACGCTATCTCTAAATCCTGGCGCGTGAACTCCAGTTCCGTACGAAAGTTCATTTCAAACCAGAGGGAAAGTGCGGTGTTTGATTTTCCGCAGTGCGCGCGGAGCCGCGGACTGCAGCTGCATGATGTAATGAAGGCAGCGCGCTGCGCATCTGGCCCATAGAAAAGAGATCACAGTTGCATACTCTTGTTTATGGACTCTTGGTAGTAGCTGTATATACCTTATTCGATAACGTGATTTGTGGACTCGCCTCCAGGGATTTGTCGTAAGCTAGGGCACGCGTACAAGAAACGAGTGGCAAGAAAGGCCCAGTTCGTACAAGGGAGTAGTAAAATACCGGTATTTTTCTACTTCCATGTTCGCACGCAGAGTCCACTGTGCACTGAGTGCAGGCCTCTTGCCACTCCCTGGTTCCCGGGACCCCGGTTCACGTGATCGTGACGTTTATCGAATAAGGTCTATTTACAACAGTACCCGTAAGTTACTAAAGTTTTGAAATTTGAAAAAAGGTCCAAAAAAGGTACCTCGACTGGGGTTCGAACCGCACAATGTACTGTTGCAGGCGGAGTCAAACGGCCTAGAGTTTGATGGTTTTTCTCAATTCAGTGCTTTTGGGGCAAAGCCTGGCCGAAATCTTATTCTTGTTAGGGCCTACTTTTTGGAGAAATAGACTTCAGAAACATAATTGGAAGAGGATTCCATAGGGGTTTGTAGAAAAATTCTGAAAAAACTCTCAAAGTTTGACCCATTTATGGGGCCAAACGCTAGAAGTCTTTCTTTTTTATGAATGAACTGTAGGACATGTCGCTGGTGGGAGTGGGGGTCGGATTGAGTTGCAGTTGCTCTGCTGTACAAGCCATACTACAGAATGACTGGCCTTGGCCTCGGCAGTTAGTTTGTAGGTGTCACCGTCGCAGACATAGAACAACAGAGAGGGAGAAATCAGTTCCATACTCGCTGAAGGCTTGTGTCGGTATGGTAGAAACAAAACCTAATCTGCTGCACGTGGCTTAATAATAGTTACTATAGTTGTATCGGTCACTCCGGTACTCTGGCCCTTGCTCACCAGTGTGGACAAGGATGGAGATCTGCAGACTCCAAAATACTGGAGTGGATTCAGATCCTACACAAACAAGTGTAGTAGCTGGCCCTCGGAGACAATTACACGCACTCAAATAAAGCACTCACTTCGTGGTTTTTACGAATAATCGTAAGGATAGAATATTAGTTGCACACTCGGCAAGTAAAGATAAGAAGTGAAAAAGCACAAGAAAAGAACAATGCAAGAAAACAAAACACACGGCGAGCGGCAGCCCAGGGGCGGATCCAGGGGGGGGGGGGGGTCGGGGGGTTCGAACGAACCCCCTAAAACGAACCCCCTAAAATTTTTCCGACCATGGTGCAGTTTTTTTTGTTTTTTTACAAAAGCCAGGCATGCGAATTTCTCCTAGGATCCTGGCCTGCCGTAGCGCATATATAGCCCGAGCTGAATCATGCAGATGTTACATTGATATGATCCTTAGACGAACACCTTGCCAATAGGCCTTTCCCAAATCGGCCATTTATTTTGGCCTATTCGGCTTTTCGATCGGCTGAAAAATCGCCAGAATCGGCTGAAAATTTCTGTAAAAGGTGGAAATTCGGCTCTAAAGTCGCATCCACCTTTCGCAGATAATGGCTACAGAAATTGTATTTGCATGCTATTGAGGCACTAAAACATCAATTTTCGGCGAATTCAGTGCGAAAATTGCGTATTCGGCTAAAAGATCGGTGATTTCTTCAAAACCACTATTTTCGGCCAATGTTTCGGCCGGCCGATTTGGGAAATGCCCACGGGCCGTGACGCAGGTGCGCACGAGCGGTCATGCCCAGTTGCCCACGACCCTGCAAAACATGTACATGTACTACTTTCACTTTAGCTCATACATTGTACATATATTACATATACATGTACCGGTACATGTATATGTACATGTACACCCTTCAAAGCGGTGAACCCCTTGTAGTCTAGGAGCCAAGTCAGCAAAAGTCCAAGGAATAAGGTATTGATAGGCGACAAGCCCCTGGGTCATCCTAATAAAGTTAATTATGGAGATGCAAGCCTCTTTTACGGGCAAAAATTAACACAAAGTATTAAAATGCAATACAACATACACTGGAGAAGAAATCAGGAAAATAAAATATGAGCTCAAAAATGGAACGAAAAATAGCAAATAGAATCAAAACTCACGATGGAATCAAACTCACGATGGAATCAAACTCACGATGGAATCAAACTCATGATGGAAACTACAACCCAATGAGTTGGAAAACCAACCACAGAATTAGATATTGGGAATAGAGTCAGACACAACAACAGCCGAAATCAGTACACCAAAAATCTGTCCTACAAAAAACAAAGGAACAAGAAAAACAAGAAAGACGAAGTACAAAGAATCCCCAAAAAAGAGGGGAGAACGGGATGAAAGAGGACCGGAGAGCGGCAAACCCCAGGAGGACTTAGCGTCACGTAGTGGCGGGAATGCGGGCCTCCACACAAACAGCATCCACATCCGCCGCCAGACCAGGTGCACGGAATGCACGGCGACTCCCACGAACCATCAGGACGGAGTCGCGGACAAGGCTGAAAGCCAGGTCCGTCCGCAGCTTTCCCATCACGAGGGGATAAGGCTGCGAGAGCTTGGTGGAGAGCTTCGTTCCGAGCAGCTTCAGGAACCAGGTGGCCTCCTTCGCCAGGGCACCAGCAGAAGACAGGACGATCGGGGTGAACGACGCGTGCTCAACTTCCCGGATCCGGGCACCGTATGCCGACTGCTTCTGACGCTCGTGCCATTGGAACACCTCAGCCAGCGGGCGAGATCGGTACGACTGTGCGTTGGGATAGAACACCCTTACATCAAAAATGCATCAGTCTGTACCGACCAAAACCCCCTGGCCCTGATGTCCGGTCTGGCGTCGTCCGCAGTGAGCAGGGCAGGACCATGGTCAAACGTGCGGACCGTCGGTAGAGGTTGCAGCGGTGGCTCCAGCTGCACATCCTCAGACACTTGAGAAAGAAGTTGGCCCAGGTAGTTGCGGACATGGTTGTGCCGGTGGATGGGATAGCCGCCCAACTTGCAGATCATTGCGTGGTCGATGGTGAACGGCCGGCCGCATGGACACTCGGTAGGTGAATCGTGGATGGTGAGGCCATACCGAATGCATAGGGCATCAACGAAGGACCGCCGGTCGAGGGAGTATCCATGCTCGCGAACAGGAAGACAGGTCAGCCATGCACCTGTTCCCTTGGCCTGGAGGTGCTCCAGAAGCATTGGTGGTAGGGCCTCTGGACCAGCTGTCTGCAGGACGGTCTTGGTAGTCACAGACTGGGCTTGCTTGGCAGCAGCCTTGGCGGCGCAAATGGCCGCTGGGTCTACGCTGTAGAGGGAGGACTGGTCCGCGATAAGTTGCTGGAGACTGCTCGTGATGGACAGAGATGCTGTCCGCTGTTGCGGGGCAGCCTCAACTGGATTGAGCACTGCAAGGCCACCATGACGCACAGGCAGAGCAAGAAGGCTGCGTAGAGGGGCAGGGACGACTGGCACACCCAATAGAGCTGGCAACAAGACGGAGCGAAGAGAGGGCTCGAGAGGCTCGAAGACGTCTGGTGCACAGCTCGACACGCGCATCAGGAATGTCCAGCGGTGACGGTACCCAAAGACCAGTGCGGCATACACGGCTTGGGGCTCGGCCTCGGCCACGTTCGCCAGCTCACGCATCTCAGATGCCCAAGCCTCCACTCGAGCATTGCAAAATGTTGTCTTGAAGGCTTCCGAGCCCAGAGGAGCACCCAGGTAGGGGCGGCCCTCAGTGGTGATGTGGACATCGGTGTCGGCGAATGCAGCGTTGGCAGCATCGAGATGCTCGGGCTTGACAACCAGCCAAGTCTTGGCAGCGTTTGGATAGTAGCCGAATGCTGGGCCAAGTTGACAGATCTGGTCCCACCAGGTGCGAAGGCGCTGCAGCAGGCCAGCGGCTCCCGCGTCATCGGCATACCATAGCTGGATGGTCGAGGCGTCCGGTCGAGCAGCGGACGCACCGACACCGGCTGGTCTCTGGCGATTCGCGGTCATGCACCATGCCAGCTGGAGAGTCGTCCATAAGGGCGGTGGCGAGGGTAGTGGCGTAATGGCAATAGCGTAGAGGGGCATGGCTAGTGGGCAGCCTTGCGTGGTGCCTTCAGCAGACCAGATGACCGTACCGCTGACGTGGAGAGGTACTGTGCTGCGGTAAAAGTTTTTCGAAATTGTTGCTATTGATGGACATAGTAGGTGGATGTTGTGGAGCATAGCTGCACGGTTCTTCTTATTATTATTACATGTACATATTCAATATACATGTAGCTATGAATAGGATGAAGGCCGCAGACATCACGCAACTACGTTACTTGTTTGACATGTATTACTGTGTGTTTTATAACAAAAATATGATTGAAAACCCAGAATCGATAGCTATATTAAAATTATTATCTCCACGTAGATTAGATGTATATTCAGCGATTTCTTGGTAAAATCTCAGAATTCGGCGAAAAGATCGGCGATATTCTGAAAAGGCTACTTTTCGGCCGGCCGATATGGGAAAGGCCTACTTGCCAACATTCAACGCTTGGTCGACACGTATTCTGATGATCTGCCAAGCTCTTCAACTATATCAACTGACATCCGAAAGTGGGTCAGGAAATGGAAGGACGCAGCAGAGAAGTCTGGTGCACTTCCAGCTACCCCACAAGAAGCTCTTGTGCACTGCGATGCCGATGTTTTCCCGAACATCCACGTCCTCCTCCGGATTGCTTCAACACTACCCGTCACCTCTGTGGAGAATGAGCGCAGCAACACTGCCTTGAAACGGCTGAAGCACTACCTGCGCTCGAGCGCTCGACAATGGGATCAGAGCGCCTATCCTCTAGCCCTTTCCCAAAGGTGCCCGCCCTTTTTCGCCCTTTTTGGAAAAGCCCATTTCTTTCGCCCTTTATTGGGTTTTTTTGGTGCATATCGCCCTTTTTGAGCTTTTTGAGCTGAAAAAGTGCTAAAATCTGTTTGCTCATACATGCCTATCCGTCGGCAGGACCGTGAGCAACCACCCTGTTAAAACCACTGTATTCCAGCAAATTTCATTTCCATCAGTCGTCGTCATCCTCTCCATTCTACAATACTTTTGATTATCCGCTTTTAATAAATATAGGCACTGTACATTTGCAGGCGATCAGTCGGCAGCCAATTTCTTAACCCATGTAGTCCAGCAACTGTCATTTTCAAAAAGCACTTTTTATTTTTTTTATGTCATCATTTTAACACACTTTGGTAAGGGTGGAAGAAAACTGAACCCCCCTTGGAAAAATCCTGGATCCGCCCCTGCAGCCATGTTTTCTGTCAGTGACCAAGGAGCTCTCTACACAATAACCGGCTACCGACAATATTGAGAACGTTCTGGAATATTAGAATAAGCGGCCAATCACAGTTCGCCAAAGAGAGTCACATGGGTAAAGTGGAGAAATACGGGTTTTAGCTATACACAACTCGTGAGTGACTCACGGAAAGATACAAAAACATGCAAGGAGAGAAAAATGTAACTACTGTCAATCCTGGGGTTTAAAGCTAGGAATCAGTGTCCGTTCTATCAAATAATGCAACTCCTACACTACTCCCTCCTACGAGAATAAATCGTCCTCGATTTCAAATGTATACAACACAACACACACCCAAAAAAATTTCAGAGCAACATAGCAATACAGCACAGATCAAATTTTAAAATTATGAAGAAAATAGGAGACACATTCTCACGCATGCACTCGCTCACTCACAATCACAGTGGCCTGCATATTCACACGTGCATGCACAGTCACACATGGACTGTCTCACATGGGCTTGACCCGCATACACTACACCACATTCACTATACCACACACCCACACACACTCACGCACATGCTCACTCACACACACACTCACACACACACACACACACACAAACACACACTGAAATCTGTACAAAATGAACTGCCTAATGTAATAATATCGCAATCCAAGTCCAAAGCATCCTGAAGTTACGTAGCAGTCATCCAGAGTGCACAGTCAGTGTCCTCAACATAGTTACCTCGTATAGTTACGGTGCCAGGCAGGTGGACCAGCATTTCTACGCAAATGGTCACGTGGGCCTGGTACGTTAACGGGCTGAGGCTGTACTGGCGGCACAACAGGCGCAGGGGCAGCCTGATCAAACTCAGTGTCATCACAGTCCGGCCAAATGAAATCATTACTTAGCGGCGGCAAGTCAGCTGACGACGGTGCGTTCATGGCCATGGATTGAGGTGGAGGCGGCAACATACTGGGAGCACGCTGACGAGGGCTTCAGGCGATTGTAGTGTACCCACTTGTGCTTGCGTAGGTCAGCGGCCAACACGATCTCTACGACTGGACCAGTCAGCGATCGGACAACGTATGGGCCAGTCCATGGGTTGTGTAACTTGCGGCTTTCGCCTGGCTTCACAGCGGTGTTCAGCAGCCAAACATACTGTCCAGGTTGAAGAGGCGAACCATGGACACGTCGGTCATGATAGTCCTTCATCCGTCGATGGGCCACGGCGTCGGTCGCACGGGCACGGGCATAAGTACTATGAAGGACAGACTCAATGCGTTGGACATACTCATGGGTCGAGACAGCTTGGTACTCAGGTGGCAAACCATATACTATGTCTGCAGGCAAACGGAGCTCGCACCCAAACATTAACCGTGCAGGCGTTTTACTTGTGGACTTCTGGACCGCCGTCCGGTACGCTAGTAGACACAGAGGTACATGCAGGTCCCAGGATTCAGGGTGGCCACTGGCATACAGTCTGAGCGTGGTGATCAGCGTGCGGTTCATGTGCTCGACTAAGCCATCACCAGCAGGGTGGTATGGTGTTGTCCGTGACTTCCGGACCTGAAGCAAGGAACAAAGCTCAGAAAACACTGCAGACTCAAACTGAGCTTTGAGAACTTTGTCAGGAAACACAAGTATTGTTTAGCATTGGTGGCCAAGAGAAGCCAGGAAGGGAAAAAGCCGACTTCTTTCACCTGAGGAAAACCATGAAAAGGAAAACTGGGCGTGAATTGGGTTGGTTTGAAATTTTGAATGTATTGAAAAGATAGAGTGTTTTCGGAGGTCCAGTTCTTCCTTTGTTGTTGATAGTGTTTGCACTATTCTTGCTTAGGCTAGCCATAAAAATGATAAAATTATTAAATCCCCAGCTCGCATCCGTGGGAATGCCACCACCCTCAAGGAACAAGGCACAGATGCACCCACAATTCTTAGTTATGGGTGTGTGCATTGCATCGCCCGTACCTCAAAGGCTTGAGCAGCACATGTATTCACAAACCTGTATGTTCATGTATACACGTGCTGCTGCTGCTGCTGGTGCTGCTGCTTTCCTCGCAGGTTTTCTTTGACATGGCCGTCGGCAACGAGAAGATTGGCCGCATCGTCATTGGTCTGTTCGGTAATACCGTTCCCAAGACCGTTGACAACTTTGTCAAACTGTCCACACATGCGGTATGTAGCTGTAATGTCTTTGGGGGCAGCCATGATTTCGATGCATGCATCTAGCTCGAGAATGCCATGTTGATAAGATCTCCACCACCTTCAATACTTCCCACATGCTTTGCTTGCCATTCTTTGGATTGTAAACGGAGACTCTCTTGATGTAGGTGTGCGGAGAATCCATGAATAAAAAATTGAATTGAAAATACAAATGCAAACTGCTGGGTCTTTGCCTTGAATGTATTTGTTCTGCATGTCTATGTGTGCCTGCGTGTGTGCTTGCATGTGTGTGTGTGTGTACTGTAGAACAACTATGGATACAAGGGTAGCAAGTTCCACCGCGTCATCAAGGATTTCATGATCCAAGGTATGGAGGATGAAAAGCACATTTGCACACGAGCACCAGAAAATGAAATCTTCCTTTGGAAGATTTCTTCAGAAATGGTTCTTTGCAGGGTTGTTCTGTCCATCGCTAACACAATTTAGTTTATACCGACTATCCAAAGCACTGGATGCGATGAGGTTCTACTGAGCACGAACCCAAACGGATCATACTCTACAGCATCAATATGCACCTCGAAAGTAAAGAAAAAGAACGAATGACCTGTGGTGGTGCTGAAGTTATCTTGTGCTTTGACGTTTTCACACCGGGGCTGTAGCTTGCTTCCTTGTTTTACTAGCTTGCTGTGGTGGAGTGGTATGTGTGGTGCCTTTGAAACCCCTGCGATCAGACTTTTTCACACCATCCGAGTCCATGTGAGAAGGCAGCTGTTACATATTTGGTAGTGAACATTTTTTAACAGACTCTGCTTCATGCCTTTTTTACTTGTGCTCTTTACTGATATTTCTTTCCAACTGATGCAGGTGGAGACTTCACCACTGGAGATGGAACTGGAGGTGAGTTAAGAAATTTACACACTTTGGTCTTGGCTTGACATCAGTTTCTGCATAGTCTGTAGCTTAGGGGCTAGATGACGTAATGTCTGTACACTCTGCTGGGGGTCTGAAAACACTATGTAGTGCATGGTGGAGATTCACCAGTGGAATGCACTAATTCTAGGTACATGTAATACACTGGCTGTACACTACATTGTACATGTGTATGCTGCTGGCCAGTGAAAGCTTACCCCATGTCACTAGTTTACATGTAAATGTGCAACATGTGTACACAAACGTGTAAGTTAGGGACTGCACTGCGCCGGTAGCGAATGTCTTTTCTGGGCTTCCAACAGCGTCAAAAAAGAGACTTCACAAGAACTGAATGCATGGTGAAAACTGCACACACATGACAAGCGAGTCGGTACACACACACACGCACACACATACACACACACACACACACACACACACACACACACACACACCGAACAGCACGACCCCAAGGATGGGAACCATTTGCAGTCGTATGTAGTCCCTATTAGTATGCAGCTGTGCATCATTGGCAAAGTGTTGACTTGGACAGGAGCTTCATTCGATTTGAGGCCCTTTATTGATCTGACTAGGATACTCAGTAACCTCCGCAAGGTTGCACACTATCCTGCCTGCATTGTCAGGCGTTCAAACCTCTATGTGCACACTGTGTGAGTGGCGTATCCTTTCTTTCCTTTTTAAAATCAGCTTTAGCTTTCCACGGCTATTTTCATTTCATCCTACTTCTTAGTCATCTTCTGGTCGGCTTGATGGCCATGCGATGGGATAAGCGGCCAGCGTTGATAGTTACGGGTGACACTGATGAACTAACTTTGTACTGAAATTCGATTAGGGATGAAGTTTTAAAGCAACATCCCGAATTCAAGCACATGTGCTGTGCATGTGGCTTTCCCCAAATGTCACATATTCTGAGTATTCTTCTACCCCTACTAATTGCATACAAAAGCTTGAAACTCACATGATGTGTGCCCAGATTGTACTAATTAAGGCGAAATTAGAGTGACATCATCCGCAAACAAGAAGGTGTCCGAGTGAAGTATGGCTTCTGGTAGGTCATTTCTGCAGTAGACTGGTGGTTGCTAGGTCATCTGGACTCTCTCCCACCGTACCAATAGTCCAAGACACACTACACAGCCTGCACACCCATCCCGCTCTACCCTTCGCAGACTCTGAAACTGCGGAATTCTGCAGTAGATATGTGTACAATACATGAACAGCACTCTGATTTACTCCAGATAAGATCATCAGTCTCTAATCTTCCAACAACAACAAAACTGAGCAAATAGTCAAACGTTCGATACATTGGTTTCATCCATAAACTGATAGTACCAAACTAGCTGTGAACGATACCATTGGCCATATGTAGTGTAGTTCTAGTTATCAATAAGGTGATGTTTTCGTCAGTAGCCTTTCCAGGGTGGATTTAGTGGTCCAGATGCGCATTCTTCGAGGTACTATTATGCACGAGTACTCAAACGTACATACACACACACACACCACACGCACTCACACACACGCGCACACACACACACACACACACACACACACACACACGCAGTTGTGCATCTGGTGGATTGATTCGGAGACTGAGACATGATCCACTCCATTATGAATTTATAATAACTAAATTGGTTACTAGTACAAACAGATACTTAGGTAGTATATTCGGAGAGTAACAATGCCAGTAGAATTGTTTAAATACCCAGCATGGGGGGGGGGGGGGGGGGGTTCAGTCACACGATGACACCATCTATGCCTAGACACATCCATTCGGAAGACATAATGTACTGATGTAATAAGTGTATGAACCAGCGACAGGACCAACACAAAGAAAGCTAATTGCAAAGGCCGATTTCCGTCCAACTACATAGTCATAGGACGTTAGTTCCGAGAATGCTGTGCGGCCAGTATCAATGAGCAGATGCTAAACGTTCTAAAACAAGACGAGCAGTGCTGGACAGACGTGCTGGTGCACTGCCAACCGAGTTCCACCAGCCAGTCGCTCACACACTGGTAGAGATCTGAATGATACCGGGATGTACAAGGATGTGCGACGATCTAAGCACCCGGTCCTGCAACTGTGGCTTCCTATTCTTTTCCTCGTGGCGCACCAGAAGAGCTAGCGGAGACAAGGCGGCGAGGAGAATGGAGAGCGAGTAGAACGCCCAGTCGTTGCCGAATCTCTGAGCGAGACCGGTCGCCACGAACGGAGCGAGGAAGTAGTTAGCGGAAAAGGCAATGTCGCTGATTGCGTACACATTGCCGTAGGTGCTGGAGTGGCGACAGTCCATGAGAGTACCCATCACCATGTAGGTAACAATGTCAATTGCTCCCATGCCAACACCCAGTGCTAGCATGGGCAGCACCAGGAGCCAGAAATTCCCTGCCGGTAGAAAGGGTAGGACCACGATAGAACCCGAGCCGATGAACATTGAGCCCATGGCTAGAATCCACGGTGGACACTTGTTGTACCTGAGTGTGAGTTGCCCTAGCAGCGGTGTGGTGACAAAGTAGGCAGCGAAGAGAGGCAAAAACGCAAGGCCGACTTCCCAGCCACCTGGAGCAGGCGTGAAGTGCTCCTCAGCCCACTCCGGCAGCAGAGGATCCAATGCAGACACTGCCATGTTAGCCACGCAGGCAATAACCGCCAGGTTGACGATGTACGGATCCAACAGCAACTTCCAGATAGGCGTACTCTTTCGCCGTTCACCTTGGCTTGTACAGCGGAATGTCTTCGGTAAGCGTGTCCCCAGTACTAGTACGAAAATTAGCTGGAGCACGCACATTCCTGTCAGAATGAGAAACGGCTGTTGCCAGGCTTTATCGATGTCGGCATAGGTGCTGAATGCTCCCCCGACTGGCGCGCCAATCATTGCACCTATTGCGTACCCAGTCAGCACGCGTCCCAGCATAGTGCTGCGGCCTTCTGCTTCCGTGTACATTGCTGCTATCAGAGCGGGGCCGCCCGTACCAGCACCTGCCGACGCAATGCCGAGGAGTACGCGTGCGGCCACTACGACGGCGTAGCGGGCGCCACTGGCTGCAGCGAATGCGTTCATCAGCATCACGACTATGTACAGTGACGTCGTCAGACTTATAGTCAGGATGCCTCCAAAGTGGTCAGTTGCGGCTCCCCAGCCGGGGTTGGCAATGATCTGGGCCACTGCCTTCACGCCGAACAACACACCTATGCGAAACTCGGTGTCGTTAGTTTGGAAATAGCGCGGTACTAACGGTATGAACACTGTCGTAGCGCACGTATCAATCACAAACATGACCCCTATAAGGATGATGAGCGCAGTCCGTTGTGCGTTGGATGGACGGTATCTGCCGCTGAGCTTTCCTACATATTGTACACTATTCGAGCTTGTCTGTGCGAGAAAGCTCACGTTGTTGGACCGTGCAAACTCACATTGATCCCCATCACTAGCAACAATGCCTTTTGTTGCATTTGCCTGTTCATCCGCATTGTGAATCTGAGGTTGAGTGGTTGACACTGCTGCCGAAAAATAGTTATTTCCATCTTTGCCAGCAAAGACATTCTCAGACACCACCCGTCCACTGGTACTACATGTAGTAGTCAACTGCTCAGGGCTTATCTCTGTGTAGCTGTTGCTGCTTTGGCCTTCTGAATTTTCTGTGAAAACGCTTGAGTGTTTATTAGCATCGCTGTCGTCTCCTTGGCTTGTCAGGACTTCTCCTCCACCATCAGAATCTGTATCAAATCCAGCGCCATGGCTCGGCATCGGCTATCAGCTGTCATACGTGGGTCCTCAGTGCGTTGTGAAAAGTCGCTCGGCTAAGTCAACCGACCCAACACAAAGACAGTTTCTTGAAGCTTCCTCTGGGCAAGACTGGTTGCGATCCACATGTGCAGTTTGTCACACTGCAGTCTCGTAGCTAGCGGCGCAGTACAGTCAGTCAGCAGTTGGTACAGGTATGGTTGGCCACCCACCAGGGTCACATCCAGGACAGGATCTATGCTGGACTAGACTGCGTAGCTAGTGCTATGTGAGACTTGAGTGGCATCTTTTATTCTTTTTGCTTGAGGGTCGAGTTGATGTTGACGGTGCTACACTTTTTGGCTGTGTACAGGTCGAGCGGCGCGATGAAATAAGTGGCATTGGACTCGCCAAAAAAACCTGATCTTCGAGGCCCAGAGCTGACTGTTTTCTACAACACAAGACCAAAACACTTTGCAGCGACTACAGCGTTAGTGAGCCACTGTAACGACAGTTTCCTACAGAATCCCATCCGATAAGGAGCTGGAGAGTTGTAGTGGAGTATTTTTTTCTTTTTCTTTTGGGCCCGCTCGTCAATAGCTGTCATAACACTGTCACATCTGACGATCTGTCACAGTGCGGGCTCTGATTTTTACCACACGTCGACTGTTTCGTTACTAGTACTAACTAGACTAGTATCAACTAACGACGTTGCCGACTAACTAACGACGTTGCCGTTATCACTATCGATATCGTGGAAACACACCACGAGTCCGAACTTTGACCTAAGTTAGGCTAAGACTAAGTAAGTAATAGTTCCGAGTAATAATATTAGCCGGTCACACAACGCGGCAGGCTAGGCCTTACCGACACAGACGAAACAGCGACAACAAATCTGACATGACAAATGCTGTTCGTGTTGTTCACAGATGAAAGCAAAGACTAAGTAAGTGCTACATAGTCATTGTATTATTATTAAATTTTTGTTCATTTCTTTCCGGCCCCAGACCCCTCCCTTCTCCCTTCCCGGTCCCCCGCTCAAAGTCAAAGCGAACATGTACAGTCATGTAGATCTACGTAGATCTACGTACACGTATGTAGGGGATCCATGATGAAGTATCAGCTAGCTCCTCTTGAACCGAAGCATGACCAGCAGCAACTCCGCATACACCTACGTAGATCTACTAACGACGTATACGTAGCTACGGTCGCACAACCTTGGCGTTGCTGCATAATTCGTTTCATAGTACTTGTACCTCATCAGCTTCCCTCACTGGCCTGAAAAACAACTTGCGTGCTGGCATTCAGGAAGTTCTTTCCTGGAGGTTGTCCCCAAATCTATCAAAAACAAAGATCATGCTCTTCCCGCCCCAGCCGGAGTTCACAACCCTTATCCATGCCAACTTTCCAAATCCAATTGACATAGTGTCTTCTCACAAACACCTTGGCATTGTGATTGACTCTGCACTCTCTTGGGTACCTCACATCGAATATATCTGTAAAAAATCAAGTAAATCCTTAGGAATTCTCTCCCCCCCCCCCCCCCACTGCTCCTACCTCCCACTTTCTTGCAAGCTTCTTTTTTATTTAGCCTACCTTCGCCCAATATTTGATTATGCAGATACGTCTTGGGTTGGGTTATCCTCTTCCGCTGCTGCAAAGCTTGAAATACATCACAAGAAAATCCTTAAAATTCTCCTCCGTCAACCCCGCATGCTCTCATCATCCGCCCTTTATAAAATCGCTCACACAACCCCGTTATCACATGGACGCAGTGCACACCTGGCTTCTCTTGTCCATTCTATTAAGCTTGAGTTGTGCCCACCTCATCTCATGTGTTTTAATTGGTTCTCTTCTCTAAGAACTAGAAACTCGCTCTTACTCCCTAAGTGTAACTCATCCACTCTTTTGCGCTCCCCTCTCTTTATTGCTTATTCTGTTTGGCTCACTCTACCCAGAGAAGTTAAGGACCTGACCTCACTCCGCCTGTTTAAGATCCGTGCCGCCCCTTATTTACTACGACATACATAGCTCATTATCCACATGTCCTTTGCGTCTCTGTGTTTTTCACTGTTTTTATTTGACACTATCTTTCTTTACGGAGTTGTTGTTGCTGTTCGTTTTGCTACTCTTTCTTTTTCCCTCCCCTTATTTCTATTTATCGCCGTGGTTGGCAATCACCCACTCTCGTAACATTGGCCGGTGTTTCCACCGAGTCTTGAGATGTTGTAATAAATAATAATAATAATAATAATATTAACTGGTTTTGAGGGAAAGAGACAAACGGGAAAAGTCTGAAGAAAAATAATAATAATAATAATAATAATAATAATAATAATATTATATTAACTGGTTTTGAGTTTTTTTAATAATAATAATAATAATATATATTAGTAGTCTACTAGTAATGTAGTATCATGGAGTCATACGACTCCCTGTCGTCTACTACATATCCAAAATATAAAAGGACACGTCTCTAGTAATAGAGAGGTTCCGGGGTACGATTTTCCGTGCCAAAATCCGTATGGGCGCTACGGATTTTTTCCAGGCGTGCTCCATCCGATTTTTCGGCACGGAGAATCCGTGTGGACTGGCTTTCATACGAACCATGTTTCGTATGGAGATTTTGCGTCATCGGGTGCAGAAAGATTTTTCGCGTACAAATTTGGTACGAGAAACATCGATTTTCCGTGGGAAGTTTTGATTTCGGTACAAATTTTCAAAACAAAAAGGCATAGCGCGGGAATGTGACGTGTTTGCGATCGTAACCTAGGCAATGACGGCAAACACATAAGTTCCGCACTCCGGAACATTTCACTGCTCGAAAACGACGTATAAAAAATCCGTAGCGCCTCTACGGATTTTGGCACGAAAAATCGTACTCCGGAACCTCCCTAATGCTAAGGGCGCGTTCAAATTGTCACTCTTTGACTTTTCGAGGAGCTTCGTTTTTCTGAAGAGGTGGCCGTATTGGCCTCTTCACAAAAACGAAGCTCCTCGAAACTCCACAACCTCAACCGATGGGAGAGGTGGATTAGTTTCGAAGAGTTTGGAATAGCTACGTCACGTAGTGCGTGGAGATGGTCGATCTGATCGGACGTCATCATCGCCATGACAATTCCACTGAAAAACTCTAAAATGATAGAAACCATTCTAATGGGACACTTCAACTAATCTCTTTATAAAATTTGTTTGAACAGTTGATGAAGACAATTCGAACGCACCCTAATAGTAATAGTACATGCCGGAATGATGTGATGGGCATTACTGGGGTACAAGGGTCCACCTTACTTCGTTTTCTTACCCGTTTATCATCTGTGAGACTGTGTGTCTTTGTACATCAATTCTTCCCATGGTTGGGTGTATTTACAGCCTTGCAGTATCATCATGACGAGTTGTTTGCCACCCAACCCAGGCAGTCAATCTGTCCAGAAACAATGAAAGTACACGTCTCCAATACTAGCACAGTCCCCTATAGTAGTCCAGGTCTGACCACGTTTGACTCGAAAAATAAAAGTACTGTACAATTTTTGTGTATAGTACAGTACGAGTGAAAAGTTGCTGTTTGAGGCTCATTGCTGAGAAAAGCAGCGAACCATATTTGGTTGTCATGGTATTCATCCGCTGCCGCCTTAGCTTTGCATGCTTTGCTCAGAGCAAGTAAGTGTCATGTGCCTGCGTGGTAGCCACTCTGTTTTCGCTGTGCAAGCACACGTCTCTTCTTCTGCCTCCCTAGTTGCTGCCGAAGCTGGCACTTCACGTCATTTGTCGTCTTTAATGCGGACCTTTAAAAATGTATGCTGTCGGTTATTATTATAATCTGAACCGTCCGCCTCTCCACACTGCGCTCTTGCCCCACATTCACAACACCACTCCATAGCGAGGAAGTTCGTTCTTGGGTAGATGTTCCACAATCCTCCAGAGACCTGTTTCTCTGGTTAAGAAGTTGAAGGTGACAAAAGTTCTAAAGGTGATAACGAAACGCACAATGCTGCCGGAACACGCATACAGATGGCGCTAGAATTTAGACAAGCGCGTGAAGCAGACAATCTAATAGAAGTTCGCATTAACGTTGCCACACATACATGCATATTGATAGATTATAGATCTACTTCTACTTTATCTGCGGAATGAAAACAATTTCAACGGAGGTCGCGCAGCCCTGACGGAGTGAATGCCCAAGGGGCCTCTCTGGAGGTTAGCAGCTATTACGCACCACCACTGGCTATGTGTGCGCCTACAACAAAAACTTTGTCGTCAACGGCGGGAGTGGCAGTGGAGGAATCTCACCCTGCAGGCGGGCAGTGCAATGAATGCCCCATGGGCCTCTGGGACTGTCGCGTTGTCTGGCCTTCCGTTTCTCTCACCTCGTCGTCACGTCACTATGAGACCGTTACTTCAATCTATCATTATGCGTGTATGTGTGGCAACTTTAGTGCGAACTTCTAATAGATTGTCTGCTTCACGCGCTTGTCTAAATTCTAGCCCCATCTGTATGCATGTTCCAGCAGCACTGTGCATTTCGTTATTACCTCTTTTTCTTTTTTTTTAGAAGTTTTATCACCTTCAACTACTTTGGGTATGCCACTTTCCTGTGTAGAAAGTGCGCAATTGCGCCACTTTATCCTATAAATATACTCATTCCTTTATCTGCTATTCATTCGTTATCTACCTCCACTGAGGAGCTCTTAATGAGCGAAACAGCTCTCTGGAGGATATGGAACATCTACCCAAGAACGAACTTCCTCGGTATGGAGTGGTGTTGTGAATGTGGGCCAAGAACGCAGTGTGGAGAGGTGGACGGTTCAGAACTTCAGATTATTTTCAACTGGCCGAGTTTGTCGCGACTTCTGGGTTATTATTATCTCTTTATTTCACTGAGAAGGTGGAGAGCCCGAATGTGCGCATTGTTTTCTTATTATTTCACGGCGAAGGCGAAGAGCCTGGACGTGCTGGATGAAAAAAAGTTTTAGGCAGAAGCGAGAGATTATTATTTTTTGCTAGCATGTAAGCACGTGCTTGTACATGTAGTATGGATGCACAGAGAATCATACTGCACATGGGGGAATATGGCTCTTTTTTGGGTGCAGAGACCAATCTTCATGCATTTTTGGTAGAGTTGCATAGGTATTCCCTGCCATTCTTTGGTGAAAAACGATTCTGACATCTCATCTGAAATAGAGTCATAGTTTTGTTCATATTTTAGCACACGTGCTTTTGCCTTTGCCTTTTTTGCGAATGCGTGCTTGAACATGTACATGTATTCGGAGTAAACTTGTGCTTTTGTGCGCGGAAGTACAGTAGATATAGCGATGTTTCAAACATCCGGATTGAGGTTCCCTATTCAATAATGATGTTGTACCAATGACCGATAACTCGTGCACAGTGGCCTGTTTTCTCCCGCATAATTATGCTAAATAATTTGAGGATTTTGTCCGCTGTGGGGACAGTACATTGCTACCATTAGTTTCCAAGCAAAGTGAACAGATCTCAAGTAAGTCATTTGAATCCGGGGCGTCGGAGCTCCGGAGCCGGTGTGGCCGAAGCCGCACCAACAATTGTATCCTGTGATTTCTGA